TCTAGTAATATATTTACTGAGAAAAATGGTGACGTGTTCAATACTTATCTTACCCGCTGTAAGTGTCTAGGTATGTGGGTCATGATACTTCCCCACACACATTTCTCAGCTTCAGTCATTGTCTTACCTTACAGGATTCCATTTTCTCACGAGGTATGTCATTACTCAGTAGGAATTTAATGTCCTCCACCTCTTTCTTAGGTAGATCATCACTTATATTAACCATCAGCACTCTATAAAAAGAAGGTGTGTTAGTGAATATAACAACAAGTTCATTTCTAAAACAAATAATAACATTGTACCTGAAAGTTGGGAAAACATTTGCATATGATTGACTCTGCAGTCCCATATCACTCCTGCCAACTTTATACAGCTTCCTCAGGAGATCATATCTCCCCAGCAGTAAAATGAGAGCTTTTAGAAACAAAGAAGCGTCTCCGCGGTGCTCCACGTTAGACTTCAACATCTGCTTTACAAACTCAACACTGCAGTCTGCTTCCAGGCTCCCACACAGGTATGCCGCCTTCCTGCATTCACTGTGGCTGAGATCCTCAGCTACTGCATTAATGTATTTCAAGTGACTCTGGTCCAAAGGTGACATCATGGGGATCCGGGTACCTTTAACAAAAACCTTTAAGGAGCAACAAACAGCTCGGATTCAATAATAACACAACACCTCACTGAGGTCCTAAAATATTAAATGAAAGATAAATGCACTTTTGCAAATGTTAAGAGAACAACCTACCTTTCAAGTTCGACAAGAGACATAAAAGAGAGGAATTGGAGACCCGGTTGGTGGAAATGACGCACTTCTAAAAGTCCGTGTGGGAAAGCACCGTGCCTACATAAAAGACGCCGAAAATGAAAGAGTTCAAAGAGGCGGTACTTCGTCTGAGAAGCGACGACCCCAACCAAGCGTTTGCATTTTTACTGAATAAAACCCCCCTACTAAAATCGAAAGTGAAAGAATTAAAAAGACACTGTCGATCAGGTCAAACACCAACTTCCTGGGGTCAAAATTTCAGGGATGGGCCAAAAGTTTGACTCCGCCCCTCAGGAGTTCAGTACCATAACAAACAAACAGACAAACAAACTACTACTCCTACTACTACTACTACTACTACTACTACTACTACTACTACTACTACTACTACTACTACTACTACTACTACTACTACTA